AACAGATGTTCAGGTCAAACCTAGATAAATTCACACGTGGCAGGTGCAGGCACTGAGCATCCCAGGCCTTTCAGAGTTGGAAGATGTCAGCTGAGAAGGCCTCAGACTGGCTCCCTGTTTTACCAGCAGATGAGCTGAGAGGTTCACAGTGACAAAGACACAAGCTTTAGAGATCTCTGGGGAACCGGCTCGGGATGAATTACAGAGAGACAGTATGATAGATGAAAAACTTTTAATTCAGACAGAACTGGGTCTAAGCTAGGCTCTGCCTGCTCCTAGCTATGTAAGCCTCAGCCTGTCGCACACCCCTTGGTATATGTGGCATTCCACAGGGGAGACCCTCTGTCAGCCCCGTGCAGATGGAGAGAGGGAGATGCTGTGATCTTTGGGGGGGTGGGTTTCAGGGGTTAATGAGAATCTATGCTGTATGCCTTGGCACTCCCCCGTCCCCCACCCGGGGGAAAAGGCCATAGGCCTGCCAGGGCCAAAGCTGGCCCCCTCTTGGGGGGGAGGGCAGTGCTGGGGACCTGGGGACTGGCCTCCTACAGGAGAGGCAATGGCTGTAATACAGGCAGGTCTGGCTGTGTGACTTTGGACAAGATTCTGTGCCTTCCTGAGCCAGGTGTCCTTATATCTGATCTTTCAGGGTAGTTATGGGAATGATGGATGACATTGTGAAGGACTTAGTTCCCAGTAACTGGTGCATGGGAGGTGCTCAATAAAGGGCTGCTCATTAGTACGTTCAGAAGAGAGCTTGCCTCACGATGTCCTTGAAGATGGAACCTGCACAATCCTGTGCACAGATACTCCTTGCTGCCTGGCAAGGACTGAAGTATGAAGGACTGTGTCACCTGTGGCTGCTGCCCTGCGAGGCAGGCATGGTAGCGGTCAGGGCATGGGATGCTGTAGGGGGGCAGGGCCTGGCAGAAGTCTCAGGTGCAGAGGCAGCTCTAGTGTGAAAGTCCTGAACTTCGGGGTCCATGTTCCTCAAGAGGCTTCAGAGGCCTGGAAACCTCCAAATGATGTGCAAAATGTGGTGTCTGTGGGGACAGCTTTCAACAGATTCTCAAATGGGACCGTAACTAAACTAAGAACCCTTGTTCTGGATGTCAGGACATCAGGCATGAAGACGCACTGGAAGAGGACATGGCGGGTGGGGTCGGCTCAGCCCTGTGCCCTGGATGTGACCAGCTGATCTTCCCCCCATGCCTCAGCCGTCAAGTGCGAGCCAGGCTGGGACTTCAGTGCCTTACCTGGGCATCCACCCTGCCATGAGCTTGAGGTTCAGCTTCACTTGGTTTGGGGTGTGGGAGAGAGACCAGGGCCGTGGAAGTTGGGGTGAGGAACGGTAGGGCCAAACCTCACTGGCGGCTGGCTCAGGCCTGGGGACCTGAGGTGCTGAGGGTGTTAGGGGGTGGGAATCATAAGGACCTGGGAAGGTAAAGGCAAAGGAAATGAAGCAGGTCTACTGTACAAGCCTCTGGAGCTCCTTCTCATCCACTGGAAAGTGGCGCATGTGCCTGAGGTCTGCCCCTGCCTGAGTGGGCTTGACCAGATAGTCATCAAATGATCTCTCTGGGCCTTGGGTTCTAGCCTGAGGGTGATCACTGCAGGCTCTTACCTCAGAGCCTAATGCAGAGACCTCAGGCTGTGTCCCACAGAGGTGTGGCTGTGGGTGTTCTCTCTCTTTCTTCCTTTCTCTCTCTCTCTCTCCTTCCTCTCTCCCCTCCCCTTCCCTCTCCTCCTTTCCACTTCCCTCCCTCCTTCCTTCCTTCCTTTCTTTTCTTTCTTTCTCCTTTTATTATCTGTCCCATCTTTTGTTTTTCTCATAAATCACTTAAATCATTTCTAGAAGCAGATAGAGTATAAATAGAAAAAAAAGGAAGGAAGGAAGGAAGGAAGGAAGGAAGGAAGGAAGGAAGGAAGGAAGGAAGGAAGGAAGGAAGGATACTTGTTTGCAGGGAAGATACCGGTCTAGAGAAGGTAGGCTTTCAGTCCTGGGATGTTTTGTTTGTTTTTCTGAAAGATATAATTTCTTTTGGTAAATCGATTTTGCTTGTGAAAGACAATGTGGAACATTTGTAAAAAGAAAAAAAGAAAAGAGAAATTGCTCATAATTGCATTATATAGACATCGTAGGTAGTAGGTTGTATGTTTCCTTCTAGTCTTTTCTTACGTGTATACATTAAAACTCTTTTGGTATTTGTACTATAAATGGTAACCAGGTTTCTTGCTTCACCATGTAGCATATATAACATGGACAATTTTCTGTGGCGCTAAAAGCCCTTTATAAACATTTAAAACACTTCAGTTCCCCATAGTTAGACATTTAGACTCCCCATTTTACATCATTATGAGTAAAGCATCGACAATGTTTTTGCCCATAAAGTTCTTTTCAAAGTTAAGATGATTTCCTTGAGAAAGATTCAGAAGCCCACCTGAAGGGAGAGGGGGCTATCTCTGCAGCGTGTCGGTGAGAGCGTGCTGGGGACTGCATGGGGCTGCCATTGTCATAGGCCCTGCAGAGACAAGGGATGAGGCAGACCTCCTCACAGACCCCTGTGCGAGCCAAGTGACTTAGGCACTCAATCTGTGGTTCTTGGTGGGGTGGAAAGAAAGAAGAGTCTTCCCAGTGACTCATCCATGGGGCTTGGGCAAAGCCTTCATATACCCCCCTCTGTCAGAGCTGCCATGGGCCTCCTCTGTCAGAGATCAGTGGAGCCCGATGAGGTGTTTCTGTCCCGCACGGCTGGCTTGCCCAGCAGGCCCACAGCCCTGCGTTCGGATGGGCTTGCAGACCTGTGCAGCATTCCAGCGTGGCTGAGCTCTGCTCCAGGGCAGGCTGGGCTTGGTGTTCACCTCAGAAAGGCTAGTCAGTGGGGTCAGCCAGCGGATAAACTAAAGTTAACTCAGCCATTATTGCTTTTTTGTTAATGAGGGGAAGACCAGCTGTGAAGATGCCAAACCATTCAAAACTGTTGCACAGTCCTTGGGATTTGATGTCTCAGGACAAATTCCGCATTCAGGCAGAAGAAAGCAATCGACAGTGATTTTAAGTCCTGACCGGACTCCCAAGGGTCTCTTGTGCTTCACTGAGCTTTCATTTTGTTATTTTTTTAAAAAATATTTTTCCTATTAAGTTATGAATCTTGGAAGCCTTTCATTTCCAAGCCTTCACTTGGAAGTGAAAAGTGCTGGTGATCTCACTGGGCTCATGAAAGAGCAGGAACTCTTTTGTGGATTGAGGCCCAGGGGGAAGCCAAGCCCTGAGGTAGGTGGAGAATGATCAGGCAGGAAATTCTGTCACCACGGCTCCAGGGGTCGGCTGGAGTGGTGGCCAGACGCCCACCCTATGTGGTGTGGGGGCTGAGGGTAAGGGAGTGGGACTGGGTTCTCTTAGACCGTAGTTAACAGACACAAACCAACTCATTCTCAGAGACGAGATTCAAAAGTAGAGTCTGGAAATCCCGGATGTTCCTGAGCCTAAGAATACTTGATCTGGATCTTAAACTTCCACAACCCACTAACATGTCACAGATGCTCTTCAAAGTGACCTCCTTTGACAAAGAAGCAAAATAGGCTTAAAACCACCTGAAAAATTCTATTGAAGTCAGTGTACAAATGTTTAAAATTCTTTGAAGAAATTGGATCTGAGATGTTCTTGCTACAAAGCAGCCTATGAACAAGTCAAGCTGAAAGCATGGATTCGAGATGTGCCCACAGCCAAGAAACAAGACAAAGAGTCTTCTTAATTTGACCCATATTTGCAACCTGCCTCTTGTGTGCCAGGCACAGTGCATGACTCTGGGGGCAGACATTTGTGAGATTGGATTTCTTGCCCCAAGGTGTCTAGTTGGGGAAAGGTCTAATATGGCCAGTGATAGTATGAGGACACCTAGGAGGAATTGATTCTGATCAGGAGTTGATGTAAAAGCCAAAGGAAGAAGCATTTGAGATGGGCTTTCAAAGTGAGCATGACAATGGAGCATCTGAGTGGCTTAGTCAGTTAAGTATCAAACTATGGCTCAGGTCATGATCTCATAGTTCATGCATTTGAGCCCCTCATCAGGGTCTCTGCTGTCAGTGCAGAACCCACTTCACATCCTCAGTCCTCCTAGCCCTCTGCCCCTCCCCCCCTCTCGAAAATCAATAAACATGTTTAAAAAAGCAAGCATGGCATCGATGCTTAGAGATGTGGGAAAAGGTTCTGGAAGGCAAGGGACACAGGAATGGACACTACTGGTGCTCTTGGGGAGAGTCATTTTTGTGACTCCTGGGCAGAGGAAAGGCAGGAAATGGTGACATGTCCCCTGGTTGTAGAGGGCTTTGATAGTCATCTTAAGGAGTTTGGTGTATATTCTGCAGCTAATAGGAAAAGTTTTTGAAGAGGGAAAGTAGGTTAATTTTTTCAGTTAACAAAAAATACATAAATATATGCTCAGTGAAAGATTTCAGCTATACTGAAGTCTGTAAAGAAAAAAAGAAAGAAAGAAAAGAGAAAAAGAAAATGCTCCCCTTCCCAGAGGTTACTACTGTTCTCCTTCAAGTCATTTTATCCACCTGTATCTATAGAGAAAGATTACACAGAATCAAGCCCTGAAGTGTTAAGGCTGATTCTGTCAGACTTCTTCCTTTTTCTCTCTCTCACACACAGGCCCATATCTTTTTTTTTTTTTTAAGTTTATTTATGTATTTTGAGAGAGAGAGAGAGAGAGAGAGAAAGAGAGCAGGGAAGGGGTAGAGAGAGAGGGAGAGAGAGAATCCCAAGCAGGCCCTGTGCTGTCAGCACAGAGCCCGATGCTGGGCTCCATCCCATGACCCTAGGATCATGACCTGCGGCAAAATCAAGAGTCAGACACTCAACCAACTGAGCCACCCAGGCACCCCAGCCCCCTACCTTTTAGTATTTAAATTTACAGAAGCCAAGACTGTAATCTAGGGAAGGCTGCGTGCTGTGTCTTAATCACTTGTCTATTTTGCTCTCCTTTGTGTTATTTCAGAACACGGTTTTGTTGGGTATTCACCAGAACTGCTACAGAACAACACTCTGCCCGATTACAGCCCAGGAGAATCTTTTTTCACTGTCTTCGGGGTGTTCTTCCCAGCAGCTACAGGTATAGTAATTTGGATTCTTTTTCACTCCCACATTAGGGGTATAAATGCCTGGTTTCTAAAACTCAGAATCATAAGCGGCCTGCATGTGCTCCTAGGATGTCTATCTGACTTTAGAAATGGCTTTAGCTTTGACTGAAAAGCTATTAACGGAGAGTTTACTTGTTCATAATTCCTTTTTTTTTTTTTTTTTTTACAAATAGTTCATTGTCAAGTTGGTTTCCGTTGGTTTCCATACTTGTTCATAATTCCTGAAGGCTCCAGCATTATTTATTCTTCCTTACCCTCCATACCTATATGGCCTAACCTCTTGGCCCAGTTAATAGAGGAGACATATTTCTCCTATGGCTGAGCAGGATGGATTCCTAAGCAAGATAAGCTTCCCCTTCCACCACAGAATGGGTGCATACTTGGTCTAGAAACTCCCCTTCTCTCTACCCCAAACTGTGTGTCTTCTCCCAGGGGGCAGAGAAATGCTATTGTCTTCTCCCTGCACTGGGTGTGGGTGAGATCAGGATCCCATGGACGATGAATGAATCTCCTTGCCCTACGTTTCCCATTTTTCTGGCTCTACGGTGGCCAGGGAGGAGCTTTCCAAAGCTGAGGTCCCTCTAGAACTCTTGTCTTGGGCTCCAGGCCTTGGCCTGGAAGGTAGTAAGCAAACATGTGGACCCAGTGATTGTAAGAAATAACCATTTGCTAGAGACTGGACTTGTCCCGGGACACAGACTCAGAGAAGCAATTTACTCTTGATCAGGCCACATCAGTGCCCTGGAGTGTGGCTGATCTGTCTCTGTGTCCTCCCTCTTCTCTCTGCCTGCCTACATGTGGCTCTTTCCTTGCTCATGATCCTGTCCTCAAATAAGATAGGGATAGAAAAAGAGGAGGAGCTACTAGCATGTTGGAACTTTACAAGCCTGCCCGTGACAAATGCTGGCAAGCATGTGGAAAAAAACTGGAACTCTCATACACTGTTGATGGGAATGTGAGATAGTGCAACCATTTGGGAAAACAGTAGGATGATTTCTGAAAAATCGAATAGTCTACAGCCATAGCGCCTTAAATGTGTCAGATCTTGGAAGCTAAGCAGGGCTGTGCCTGGTTAGTATGTGGATGAGAAACTGCCCGAGAATACCAGGTACTACAGGCCTAAAAGAAAGAAACTTAAATATATACCCAGCCATTTCCTCCTGGTTATCTACTGCAGAGAAGTAAAAACATGTAAAGACTTGTGCCTAACTGTTAAAAGCGGCTTAATTTTTAATAGTCTCAAACTGGAAGTAATTCAAATATTCATCAACAGACAGATAAATTATGGTATAGCCATCCATGTAAAACTACTCAACGATAAAAGGAATCAGCTATTGATACCTGCAAGAATACAGATGGATTTCAAAATAACAGTGATACATGGGGCACCTGGGTGGCTCAGTCAGTTACGTGTCCCACTTCAGCTCAGGCCATGATCTCGCGGTTTGGAGTTCGAGCCCCGCGTTGGACTCTGTGTTGACAGCTCAGAGCCTGGAGCCTGCTTCCAATTCTGTGTCTCCCTCTCTCTCTGCCCCTCCCCTGTTCACACTCTGTCTGTCCTTCTGTCTGCCTGTCTCTCTCTCTCTAAAAAATAAACATTAAAAAAAATAATGGTGCTGTGAGAAGGAAGTCAGAAAAAAAACAAGTAACTTTTTTAAAAGATAAAATCATACAAAACTCCATTTATATAAAATTCTAGAAAATGCAGACTATAGTAACAGAAGGCAGACCAGGGGATGGGGAGTAGGGGTGTGGGGAGCAGGAGGGAGGGACAAGGAAATTTCAGGGCATGAAACCCTATTCTAGTCTACGGTGATGGATTGGGATTGACAGGTATATTCCTGTGTCACAACTTTCCAGATTATGACACTTTAAACATGTGCAGCTTGTCATATGCTAGTTACACCTCAGTAAAGCTGTGTCAATGAAAAAAATTAACAATGTTAATCACCTTTAATCAACTTTCCTGAATCTCACTCTGGCCTCTAGCAATGCTTGTTTTCTCTGCTCTTCACAGTCAAACACTAGAGCTTTGTGCTCCTGCCTCCCGTTGCACTTGTTCACACTCTTCTTTTGGAATCCTGAGCCTGGTTCTCTCCTCAAATGGCTCTTTTCAGAGTCTTCAGTGGCTGCCATGCTGTTCAGTTCAACAATCATCTCTGATTTCTCAGTGTATTCAACTGGTCACCTCCACTTCCTCCTTTACCCTTGCCTTCTCTGATGTAGCACTTCCCTTTCTGCCCCCTGCCTTTCTCACTTGCCTGTATAGGTACATCCTCTTCTGCCTGCCCATTAAATTTTGGGGTTTATCAGGCTGTGCCTACATCCTCTTCTCTTCTTTCTCTACAGTTTTCCTTAGAATCTCATCCATGCCTACTGTTCAATGACCGCCCACAAGACGGATGACTCCCAGACTTGTGCCTCTAGCCCAGATTTCTCTAAGCTTCACATCATATATTTAGTTGCTTACGTGACATCATCTGTTGGGTATCTCAGACCCAACATGTTCAGAACCAAGCCCATCCCACCCACCCCCCAAATGGTTCTTCTCCTTTACTCTTGATCTCAGGAAATGGCATCTCTATCCAAACAATTGCTCATGCCAGTAATGGGAAGTTATTCATGATCGCGTCCTCTTTCTCACCAGTACCCTCCAAGTCCTCCTAAAGGAGGTTCTCCTTTACTTCCTACTTCTCTCCACCTCTCCGACCACTCTGGTCTAAGCCTCATCTCTCACTAGATCACTGCAGCAATGTCCTACCTGACCCATCACCTTGACCCCCACCCCCAGGCTGGCCACAGAAGTGAGCTCGGAGCTAGGCCTCAGGAGCGGCAGGTAGAATCTTGGTATGCAAATCCAGATGTGCCAGAAGTAGTGCATCCTTTTCATTTTTACGAAGCGAAAAGAGTCATTCTCTTGTCTTCATTCTGCCAGGATGACTGAAAGCGGATGTCAGTCATTCATCATGCCTCTACCTTGCCCTGTCATCTTGTTCCAGGGTCTTAGGGTCTCAGCAAGTCCCAAGGCATGTCTGGCTTTTCATCCTTGTACACACAGCCAGACCCTCTTCGTGTCCTGTCTGCACATCTGTCCAGGTACATGCTCTCTGCTGCTTCTGAGCCACTTTTAGGGATCAGAAATTTGAACTGGGGAGCCCTATGCTTTAGAGTGTACGCACTTTCCAGGCCCTCCTTCCTGGGATCTTGTGGGGTCCCCACTGTGCTGACAGAGAGTGGGCCCCACATTCACACTGCTTCAGATCTTATGAGCCTTTATCTCCTTGCCATGAGCTCCAGGGGCAACCTTCTGTAATAATATGGCAGTCCCTCCTGTCCAGGGCCAGCTTTATGGGCATGAACCTATGCATTCACATTGGTGAATCCCACGCTCAGAAGGGTCCCCTGCTTGGAGTAATGATTTACTTTTGCTAAAATTCTTAATAATGTTTTGAATGAGGGATCGCACATTTTTATTTTCACCGGACCCAGCGAACTATGTACCAAAGTCTATTCTTGTCCACCAGCACCCCCTCCCCCCTGCCCCCATGCTTTCCCCACCCATTTTGCGGTTTCTTTTCTACCTGCTTGATTCTCTAAAATCTCCTAAGGGTTCAGGCTTTTGAGAAACAGAACCCAAAACAGGGTGCAGGCAAATTCTGCTTCCTTCTGCTATGTATCTCACTCAAGGCAATAAAATATAGGTCAACTTCCTCTTGAATGGGCAGAAAAGGCAAGAGGGAAAATGAGCAGAGGGAATTTTTTTTTTAAGTTAACATTTGAAACATGTTGACCTGCCCTCCCTCCCCCACACAGGCAGAGCACACCTTCAAGAGACTTCCCACCTGAGCGTTTCCTTGGGCCTGGGCCCGGGTGTCAGGGTGGCAGTTACACCTGAGGCAGCGCTGTGGGCCTCCTCGGCTGGCCACCCTGCAGGCGGCGTCCTCAGGCACCCCCAGGAGCTTGTGTCGGTGGTGTGACCCTGCTGGGCCCCTCCACACTGCTCCACGCTTCCCCTCCTTTGCCTCTCCAGGCCCTGTGTCTTAGAAAGAGAGGCGATGCCTGGTCTGACAGGGGTGCAGGGAGGGGTGCCCCCCCTTCAGTACTTCTCCCTCCAGCAAGGAATTGGCAGCAGCCTGAGGTTTGAAGAGCCACACAGTGGTCCAGAGTCTGAGCGGGAGTAACGTTTGAGATCCACTCGTTCAGCTGCTCTCAACTAACTTCCTTCCTTCCTTCCTTCCTTCCTTCCTTCCTTCCTTCCTTCCTTCCTTCCTTCCTTCCTTAATGTTTATTTGTTCCTTTTGAGAGAGAGAGCGAGAGCAAGCGTGAATGGGGAAGGGGCAGAGAGAGAAAGAGAGAGAGAATCCCAAGCAGTCTCTGCATTGACAGTGAAGAGTCAGCCACAGGACTCAGTCTCACAAACCATGAGATCATGACCTGAGCCAAAGTCAAGAGTCAGACACTTAACCAACTGAACCACTCAGTTGCCCCTCACCTTTTCTTTTTAATCCATATTTATTTTTTATGATGATACTAAAACCCTCACCTACACTAGAAATTCCAGTATGCCTCCCTGGACCAGAGAGGGGTATATTTGTCCTTCCTTTGAGAAAGATTGCCACCGAGAATATTTGTCAGGCTTTATATTCTGCAGCTTAAATTATGAATACATTATTTTGTAAAAGTCCAAATATAAAATTATAACATTGAAGAAACTATCTACACAGGCTTTTTGTTTTACTCCACCCCTCTCTGGAGATGTGCTCCCCTGTCTCTCCCACCACCCCTTGGTCTAACCAGTTTGAGAATCACTGATCCTTTACGTGACCAACTGGGGAAGGAGGAGCACAGACAGGCTTATGAAGGATTGCTAAAGGTCACCCAGCTAATTAGTGACCGGAGTTGGGCCACCATCCTGCTAGGGAACATTGCCTCTCTGGCTCTCTCTCTGTTTTGCAGGGGCCCCAGTGTAAAC